GAGGAGTCCCACAATAGGATGAAATGACCGCCCAGTGCTTACAGGTTTTCCATACTGGTCTAGCTTTAATTAACTCATGATCTCAACTATTTAATTTACTATAATGTCCACAAAACTCCTTCTGATACTAATATCAACTTGTAAGCAGAACTGAAGAAAATTAACACAACCATTTCGAAAATGTATATCATCAAGATGTTGATTTTCTTCGCTTCAAAATAGAAAAATCCTCTATTTCTATTTATTAAATTACAATGAAGTTACCAACCTTAACCCGAGGTTTGGTTCGTTTATTTTTTTCATTCGATTCAACATTGAACCCAGCATTTCCTTGATTCAATTTCAACAGTTCAGGATCTTTGCAAAAGAAGAAAGAGAAACAACCGTAAAGAAATTTAGGGACTTAGTTAGATAATGCATATATATATATATATGTAGATTTTGTTCAATAATAAATAATGTGATTGAGGATATAACATTTAAAAAGATGACTCTATAAAGAAAACTGATTTGTCAAATAGTTGAGATCATGAACCAATTGAAGCTAAACCACCATGAAAAACCTGAAAGCACCGAACGGTCATTTTGTCCCAGTCTGGGACTCCTCAACAGTGCGCATACACGATTTAGCCTTGCAAGATTAGAACCCAGGACTTATCAGTCACACGCGCGAGCGCTTAACCTCTAGACCACTGAGCCAGCATCTAATGATGTTAATGTCTAACTTCAACCAATCCACGAAATTGCGCCACTGTTCATTAAGTCATCAATGAGTTACTATCTCACAACAGACCTGGTTGAACTACACTGTTTACTGCTTCTCATTAGAACTCCAGGAAATACCTATGACGAGTTCCACAGTAGAATGAAACAGCCGTCCAGGGCTTTCATATTGTCCATAATGGTTTAGCTTCAATTGGATCATGATGACAGTTAGTTGTTTATGAAGTTTGCTTGAATTTGTCTTGAACTTATTGTAGAAAAATATTGTAAATAAATAGAAATAGATGATGATTAGCAGTAGAATCCATGACATGCATTTCATCCTATTCGGGATTCATCAATTGGATGTAAATACAACGCACATTTGATGTTCATTTAGGGACTCCAACTTTAATTGTTATGTTGATTAAAGCTAAACTACAATGCAAAACCTGGGAGCACTGAACAATTCAAGTCCCACATGCCAGATCATGGATATGCACTGCTGAGGAGACCTATACTAGGACAGAATGACTGTCCAGTGATTCCAGTTTTTCCAAATGACTTTGTCAAGATATTCTCATAACAGACCATCCATTCACTGTAGAATTTGATGGAAAATAGTTGGGCATATCGAAAGATGAATAATATTATTAATAGTAAATAAAGTTCGCTGAAGGATTCTTAAATACGTTTAAACAATCCTCCTTAAAGAATGCAACACCTTCAAAATATTCCTCATAAGCTACATATACCTATTTTCTTCATTGTCAGAAAATATGATGATTATACTCACTAGTGACTGGCTTCAAGAAGTAGTTTCTACAGTTCTAGTGAGAACGCGTGATCAGCGGAGTTCAACCAGTTCTGTTGTGACATAGTAACTCACTAAAGACAATGGTGGACAGTGGTGCAATTTCGTGGATTGGTTGAAGTTAGACATTAAAACCCTTGGATCCCTCTTAGTTGTCTCGTGGTTAAATGTTTCCGTGTGAGAATGAAGTTCCTGAGTTCTAATGCCGCTTGTGGAATCCTGGATGCGCACTGCTGAAGAGTCCCACAATAGAACAAAACGGTCGTCCAATGCTCCCAAGTTTTCAGGATGGTCTAACCTCAATCAGTTCATGATTTTAATCAAAACCTAACAATCTCCATAACCCCTATACTGATATAAATTATTGATTTTATAAACAAAGATGTATGTTTCTTCACTGTATTGATTAAACTACTATAAAGACTTAATAAACATAATATTGATTACTACTTAGCGATTGATTATTAATAATGATCGGTAATACTTCAAATAAATCGATAATGAATTCTTTTACTGTAACATTGAATAGTATGAATTTGAATTAAATTGATGAATCAATTAAAACTAGATCATTATGGAAAATCTGAAAGTTTCACTGGATAGCCGTTTTATTCTCAACTGTGCGCATCTACGATCCCACCTTGCGAGATTAGAACCCAGGATCTATCGGGCCCGCGCGTGAACGCGTAATCTCTAAACCACTGAGCTGACCGGAATCCAACGGTGTTAATATCCAACTTCAATTAATCCACGAAGATACGCCACCGTCCACCACTGTCATCAATGAGTTACTATCTCATAACAGATCTGGTTGATCTCCATTGTAGGAAATACCTATTGAAACCGGTCACTATGTTGTAAGTTCTAACCTCGCGGGGGGGGGGCGGTACCGCAGATGCGCACTGTTGATGAGTCCCGTGCAAGAACGAAACGTTCGTCCTGCGATTCCACGTTTTCTATAGTGATCTACCTTCAATTGACTCAAGGATTCAACTAATAAATTACTATAATATCCATAAAAACCCCTTTTTATATAAGTATTTACTGAACATTCTTATTTCATTCCAACCTTTTGATGTTATCCTTTAATTCGGTCACAGCATAGAAAGGAAATAAGATTAGAATACTAGTTAAGGCTTAATTTATTTGTTGATCAGCTTGTTTGTTTGTTTACATAATCAAATTGTTGTTTTGTATTCACTAAATTTTCATATTTCAATTTCATTGACTACGAGAAAGCATTTGATAGTATGAACAGGACAACACTATGGAGGCTTTTTCGACACTACGACATTCCTTAGAGGATAGTCAATATCATATGAAATTTCTATGATGGATTAAACTGCAAAATCGTTGATGGAGGACAATTGACAGACTCGTTCGAAGTAAAGACCGGTATCAGGCAAGGTTGCTTACTCTTGTAGTGACTCACATTTATCACGAGAACACGACTGGTTTATTAAAAACAATTATTGTTATAACCAACTGTACCAGTGCTTGTTTTAATGTGCTTTTGTTTGACTGTGCTAATGACAGCTATATTGTGCTTCCATTCTTATCCCTACATTTTGATTGTGACTTCGCGCGAATTCGGTCACGTTCTGTAACCAAGCTTGTATCCTGGCACGATCTCGGTATCCTTTCGATACCACGAGATCGCCAGCAAATATATATCTCGATTTGGTCCATGAATTGCCTTCTGGTATTTGGCTTCTCGGGGATTTTATGGATTTATTTGGTTACGTTCAACATTCGCCTTCTGATTTACTTGGCACATGTTTCTTGGTAGCGGTGTTCATAGTTAATCCCAACTCGACGCCACGCTACACTCTTACCCTTTCTTTTTCTCCTGGTGATCGGTTGGATTATGAAGACTTCAACATCTGTGGGGGAGAAGCATGGGATACAGTGGACAACTAGGATACAGCTGGACGACCTAGACTTCTCAGAAGATCTGGCTCCTCTATCGCACACTCAAAAACAAATGCAGGAGAAGACGACCAGTGTGGCACCAGTCTCAGCAACAGTAGGTCTCAACATACACAAAGGGAAAAGCGAAATTCTCCGATACAACACAACATGCACCAATAGAATCATATTTAACGGATAATCTTTGGATGATGTAAAAATCATTACATATCTGAGCAGTATCATTGATGAACATGATTGATCTGATGCAGATGTGAAGGCGTGGGTCGGCAAAGCAAGAACAACATATATACAACTGAAGAACACCTGGAACTCAAAACGATTATCGATCAATACCAATATCAAAATTCTCAATACAAATGTCAAGACAGTTCTACTGTGTTGGCGGAGACCTGGAGAACTACGAAAGCCATCATCCAGAAGATACAAGTGTTTATTAACAGTTTTGTACGCAAAATACTTCGGATTTATTGACCAGACACTAGACTATTAGCAACAACCTACTGTAGGAGAGAACAAACTAGATCCCAAAGGAGGACGAAATCAGGAAGAAACGTAGGAAGTGGATAGGACACATGTTGAGGAATGCACTCAACTACGTCACAAGGCAAACCCTCATTTGGAATCCTCATTGTCAAAGGAGAACTGGAAGACCAAAGAACACATTATGTCGAGAAATGGAGACAGATATGCGAAGAATGAACAAAAATAGTATAGAACTAGAACAGAGTGGGTTTTAGAATGCTAGTCGGCGCTCTATTCTCCATTGGGAGTAACAGACGTAAGTAAGTAAGTAAATTTCCATATTTAAATGTTACGTTTTTGTATACACGAATGTAGTTGATTAAATGATCTATTTATTTAACAATTGTCGATATTGCAATCTAAAATCGAAAATGTGTAAGGTGATGAATGTAAATTAAGTTGTTATATTGTATAAAGGATAATGTAAGACAAAACTGTTCAGGTTTTGGTTTTATATATGTTTTGATGTTTGATAGTAGTGAGTAATCAGTCGAAAATCATGGATCAGAGAATTCACTATTTGATGATCATAAACAAGGCTTACTTGGATTCTATAGGGAACTGAATGAAGCGGCTATTTACTACTCTTCAATTTCTTACAGTAATGTCAGGTCGTAATTTAAAAAGTACAAATATCGATAAATCATTCAAATGACAGTTATATCTATGAACTGTGATGTGTCAGTTATGAATAATTTTAATCAGAGAAAGGTTTTGTGGACATTATAGTAATTTAGTAGTTGAATTCATGAGTCAGTTATAGGTAGACCACTATGAAAAACGTGGACCCAGAATGGGGCCCGCCAGCAATGCGCATCCACGATCCCGCTTCGCGACGTTCGAACACAGGACCTATCAGTCTCGCACACGGACACTTAACCTCTAGACCACTAAGCCGGCCAGCATCGAACGGTGTTAATATCTAACTTTATTCGATCCACGAAAATGTGTTACTATCTCACAAGAGACCTGGTTGAACTCCATAGGTCACTACTTCTCACTAAAACTGCAGGAACTACCTATTGAAGCCGGATCGATAGCTCCTTGGTTCTAATCTCACGAGGGGCGGGATCGTGGATGCGCACTTCTGAGAAGTTCCATACTAAGACGAAATGACCATCCAATGCTTCCAGGTTTTCCATAATGTTCTAGCTTCAATTGATTCATGAATTCAACTACTAAAATGAATGATTTATCAAATACATTTGTTTACTATTCTTCTTATTAGTTTGTATAGATAAAGTTTAAATATATAAACATAAATAGATGAAGCATTAAGCGAAATATAAGTTGGTAAAGGTATAAATGTATCTATATACAAACGAATTAGTCACTAGTTTAGATAAAGTAACTGACTGGATTAAATTATGAAATGCGATTTACATAT